TGCGTCCCCCACGCCCATGTCGGCACACCCCTCACACGTTTCGTGGACTCACAGGGAGCTCCGCCGAAGGCCACAGGGCCACCGCCCGCATGCGTCCCCCACACCCATTTTCGGCACAACCCTCACACGCTTCGCGGCTCCATAGGAGCTCCACCGAAGGCCCCAGTGCCACCGCCCGCGTGCGTCCCCCACGCACATTTCGGCACACCCCTCACACGTTTCGTGGACTCACAGGGAGCTCCACCGAAGGCCACAGGGCCACCGCCCGCATGCGTCCCCCACACCCATTTTCGGCACAACCCTCACACGCTTCGCGGCTCCATAGGAGCTCCACCGAAGGCCCCAGTGCCACCGCCCGCGTGCGCCCCCCACGCACATTTCGGCACACCCCCCACACGCTTCGTGGCCCCATAGGGGAGCCCCACCGAAGGCCCCAGCGCCACCGCCCGCATGCGCCCCCCACACCCATCTCGACACACCCCTCACACGTTTCGGCCCACCCTACGGCCGAACCTACTGGGCGCGAACAGTCTGCAGCCGGACCATCTCTCAGTCCTATGGACTCGCCCTGGGCCGTCGGCTGTCCGGCGCGCTGCTCCCTCGGCCGACGTCGCCCAAGCGTGACCCTGGACTGCGGCCGCCACGAGGTCGGGAACGGCAAGAATCGAGGACGACGACTGGTGGCTGGAGCTCTACGCGCTGCTCTCGCGCGCGACGCGCCACGAGGACCTCTTGCTCATGCGGGCGCCGCGCACCGAGTTTTTCCTGGCAGGGCCGCCGGAGGGCCTGCGGAAGCAGCTGGAGCAGTTTGCGGCGCGCACGAAGCGGCGCAGGAGGGAGGCGACGGCCCTCGCCACGAAGCTCGGCTTCACCGAATATATCCGCGAGGCCTGACCTGAGGAGCGCCCCCCCACGAGCCGCGTCTTCCTTCGACTGCCCAACTAATTGATTGGCCTCGCGCCACGGACGACCCGCGCGCGTCGCTGGGACCCTCCTGGGGCGACCAGCGCGCGTCGCGGGAACTCCGTGCTGCATTTTTCCCTGCGCCTCGCTCGCCCGTCGTCGCTCTGCCCAGCGCTCAGAGCCTTGCCCGCTTTCAGCCAGCCAGCTAGCTGGCTGGCTCTCTTTGCTCCGCGCAGCGGACGACCCGCGCGCGTCGCTGGGACTCTTCCGGGGCGACCGGCGCGCGTCGCGGGGACTCCGCGCCGCGCTGCGCCCGCAGCTTTGGACTTTGGATCGCGCGGGCAAACAGGGAGGAAAAGAAGGGAAGGAAGCGGGCGCGATCTTCGTGAGGGGCGTGCCGACATGGGCGTCGCGGCGTGCGGGCGTTGCCGCCGGGGTTCCCGCGGAGGCTTTCTGCGGCGGCCACTCTCAGTGTCACGAGTGCACAGACAGGCATACCCGAACCATTCACATTCATATACATGTACACAAGGCGTAGCCATGATCGCCTTAGTGCAAATATATTCGCTCGCACGCAGACTCATTCACACTTAGACTCACTCGCGCTCAGATTCACCCGCGCTCAGTCTCTCGTAATTAGACCAATCGTATTCCTTCGCGTTGTGTAACCCGCCACATTTTGGCACGCCCCTCATATGGTTCGTGGGTACCACCGAAGAAGATACTCACAACTGCGATACTCACAACTGCATATGGTTGGGTCCTTCGCCAGGATAATTATTCGGCGCTTCGGCAGCTCAACTTGTGGCGTCCAAAATCCGGATAGCGACGCGGTCGGAAGCGCGTACAAAGCGAGTGGGAGAAGTTTGCAAGGACGCTGGAAGACATGCCTGGAAAGCCTGCGCGCCGGGAAAACATCTTTGCAAGACGCTTGCCACAGCGCTGGAAACGATGTGTACTGGGAACGAGTAGGAAAACGCTTCTCGGAACACGCTGCAAGTTCAAGCAACCTGCTCAGGGGATGCCTGCCCGAGAGCCTTGGAGAGGGGCTGGCCTACCCTGCACTGCTGGCTTCAAATATGAAACCCTCTTAGCTCTCCAAAGAACTATCCGGGAGAAATGTTGATGGCCCCGCTAACTCAGGCCGTGACCTTCACCGGTCTCTGGGGGTGAGGGGCTCCAGCTAGAACACAACAAACTCTTACAAGTGTCTAATGCTATTGCTCATGCTAAGCAGTTGCACCAAAGACCCAACTCCTCGCCTGCTGCAATCAGACCATGATGAATAATGCACAACATAGAGGCTACAATCTTGCATTTGTCCGCAACACTCTGCACTCCGACCAGCGTATGGAATCGAGCTACCATGGACGCCATGTGACCTAGGACCTTGGACAATTTCTTGTAGGTCTCCAATAAACCCTTGTGATTTTCTACTTACACATCCGCCACTTTGACATCACAAGCACCACAAGAAGTCAAGTAGTCGGCCAATGGATTGCCCATAACGTGGGCAAGGGACCCACCAGAACATGTCCTCCATGCTCGTGCGTGATGGTTCCAACACTAAAGAACACCCCCCCCCCCCGAATTATCTCGACATAACTTAAAATCCCGAGCAACAGAGCAACAGCGCTTCATTTCTTGACTGTTTGTCAGCGTTCAGCCTCGGTGACGAGCGACAGTTTGTTACTAATCAAACAAGGCCGACGCATCGCAGATTAACAAGAACCTGAAATCCCGCATATCGCTCGCCACGTGGTACTGACTGGCCAACGCAAGTTACGCCCCCGTACTTTGACCTGACTCTGCACAATGGGCCAGCCAACTCGGCAAAGTGGTGGGTGAGCATCATGCACACCTGATGCGTCGGTGTAGGTGACTGGTCCCCATGTACCTGCCACGTCGCCCCACCGATGCACAGAAGGGTCAGTAGCAGGAGGTGCCACCTCCATCGGAGCCAGCGGCAGCCCGTAAGTCAACTCTGATGTCTCAGCATCCCACCAGCGTTCTCCGGCCTTGTTCGTTCACCACTCGCAGTTCCACTGCGAAGAATATGCCAGACGCAGCTGTTGCAGTGGTCCGCACGGAGCAGTTGTTCGCAAAGGCCGAGGGGCGTGAAATCCCCAGTGCACCGGTATCAGAAGTTCTCTGACTGATCGCGATCGGGGCCGTGTCTCCCCAGTGCCAGCAGAACTCGTCCTGAACCGCTTGCCTCCAAACTCGGGGAGCCACGATGGCTACGGGAGAGGACGACGACGAGGGGGCGGCGGAAGAGGAGGAGCAGCAGAAGCCTGCGGTCGGGAACTTTTGCGTTTTGCGTAGCGCGTGTCGCCACGGCGGCCCCGGCGACACGATCTGCCTTGCAAGCGGGCAACGCGTCGCCCCGCATCGCGGGGCGCAAGCCTCGGCAAGGCTCGTGACGCTGACGCTTGGGGACCCGGAAGTGGATAGCGGGTGGCGTTAGGTCGGGCGTATCCCCACAGGCGGAGTATGGGCGAAAAGTTGAACATGTCCCCCAAAATACAGGAAACCCGTAAAAAAACAAATACATACATACATATATATATATATATATATAAAATATGCATACATACATATACATATATGTATGTGTATGTGTGTATCCCCAGGCTATGTTTGACTACTCTTGAATCTGCCCCCTGTAGAGGGACGTGCCCGACGCCAGCGATCGCGCACGGCGGCGCGGCATGCGGAGCCCCCGGGTGCCCGCCCGCGCACGTGCCCCGCTGGCGCTCCCCTCCGAGCACCCCTTACCCCCCGCCTGCGGCGCGCGCGCGGCGTGCAGAGGCTCGAGGGGCAGCGATAGTCGAGGGCGCGGGGGGGGGATAGTCCTCCTCCTCCTCCTCCTCCTCCTCCTCCTCCTCCTCCTCCTCTCCTCCTCCTCCCCTCCTCCTCCTCCTCCCCCTCCCCCTCCTCCTCCTCCTCTTCCGTCCTCCTCCTCCTCCTCCTCCCGCCTCCTCCTCCTCCTCCTCCTCCTCCTCCTCCTCCTCCTCCTCCTCCTCCTCCTCCTCATCCTGGCACGGGGGGGTTAAGTCGGGCGTGTCTCTCTACAGAGGGATTTTCGACGAAAAATAAAAAATACTCAGAAAATCCCCCCAATGGTCAAAAGATGCTCAAAAAATCGTCCCCATACAATTTTTCTACCATTTTTGAACATTCCTCCTATAGAGGGACGGGCCCGACTCAACGATAGGGGGGGATAGGCATGGGGGGGTGCATCGGCCTGGAATTGGCGACAGCTCCCCGTGACCGCCCCCCCCCCTGCCTGCGGCGTACGCGCGCGGCGTGCAGAGGCTTGAGGGGCAACGACAGTCGAGGGCGCGCAAACATGGACTAGCGATCCATGGATTTGGCGCGCCGTCGCCAAATCCATGGATTCGGGGGAGGTGCCCTCCCCAAAAATGCGGCCAATGCCGCCTCGTTCGGCGGCGGAAATCCGCGATGTCCCATGGGAACGGGACCCGTCGCTAATCCACGCCCCCCTAATCCATGTTTGCGATCGCCTGAAATAGGGGGGGGATAGGCGTAGGGGGGGGGATGCATCGGCCTGGAATCGGCGACAGGCCCCCCGATAGCGAGTCCACACCTTCCTGGGCGGGTTGGGGCTCTCGGGCCCCTCTCAGCGATCCATGGGCAATCGGGGGTCCATGCATCCCCCCCTGTGCCGATCCCCCCCCCCATCGTTGCCCCCGAGGGCTGAGGCCTCCGCGCGCGGGAGCCGCAGGGCGGGGCGGCGGCGGGGAGTGCGAGAGCGAGCGGCACGGAGCGATCCGCCGCGGAAGCCAGGAGGCAGGATTTCCTTTGCTGCTCAAGGGGAGGAGCCATCGCGCACACCGTGGGGCTCTCACTGTCGCGGCCATGGTTCACTTGAGCATCGTTGAACCGATCCCTGCCCCCACTCGGGTGGCCTGGGCCCCACTGGCCGGTCTGCACATCCCCGAATGGGGGGGAATGAGATGGTGGGGGTCTGGATGGGGAGAGGAATGGGGATGGGCACCGGTGAAAACGCTGCTGACCACCGATCCGTGCAGCGCAAAGAGGAGCAGTGGCAGCAGCGCCGGCGGCGGGGCGACCGCTGCCCGTCGGCGCCGCCGCCCTCGCCGGAGGCGAGGCTCAGCATCGCGGCGGCGCGCCTCGGCGCAGCATCGCGGAGCCACGGACCGTCGCGCGAGGGGGCGGCGCGGCTCGGACCACCGCCGGCAGCATCTCGCCCGACGGGGCCGACGACGACCGTGGCGGCGACGACGGCGACGACGACGGCGCTGGCGGCGACGGCAACGACAACGACGACGACGACGACGACGACGACGACGACGACGACGACGACCTCGACCACGATGAGGACGACGCCGACGACGACGACGTCGACGACGAATGCGAAGACGAATGCGACGACGACGGACGGCGGCGACCACGACGACGACAACGACGACGACGACCACCACGACAGCGACGGCGACGACGAAGGCGACGACGACAGCGCGGTAAAATCGACGGTGGCGACGACGACAAGGTCGAACGCCGCTGGTGGCGGCGAAGCCCGCCCCGCTCGGCGCCTGCCCCGCCTCGAGAGTGTCGTCGTCGTTGCCGTCCACGTCGTCGTCCACCTCAGCGTCCTCCAGTGCCTACGAGCTCCTCCTATTCCGCCTGCTACTCGTGCCTCTCCTCCTCCTCCTCCTCCTTCTCCTCTTCCTCCTCCTCGTCATCCTCCTCCTCCTCCTCATCCTCCTTCTCATCAGAATCGTCATCGTGATCATCGTCGTCGTGGTCATGCTCATCCTCATCCTCATCCTCATCCTCATCCTCATCATCGTCATCATCATCATCATCAGCAGCAGCATCATCATCGTCAACATCATCATAATCAGCATCAACATCGACAACATTGTCAACATTCCCAGTCGAGCCCCGTCCCCGTGACCAGGTACAGCAACACCGCGAGGAAGCCGCCCTCCTCCTCCTCCAACTCCTCCTCCTCCTCCTCCTCCTCCTCCTCCTCCTCCTCCTCCGCACCAACACCATCACCATCATCATCATCCTCATCACCACCACCACCATCACCACCATGACCATCAGCATCAGCATCACCATCACCATCACCATCATCATCATCATCATCATCATCATCATCATCATAATCACCATCGTCATCATCATCGTCATCAGCATCCTCATCACCACCATCACCATCATCCTCATCATCATCATCATCATCAGAATCATCATCATCGTCATGATCATCACCATCATCAGCATCATCATCATCATCGTCGTCGTCATCATCATCATCAGCAGCAGCATCGTCAACATCATCGGCATCGTCGTCATCATCAGCATCATCAGCATCAGCATGAGCATCAGCATCATCATCATCAGCATCATCATCATCGTCATCGTCATCGTCATCATCATCGTCATCATCATCACTCGACATCATGTCCACCATCATCGTCAGCATAATCATCAGCATCTTCATCATCATCGTCATCATCAGCAGCAGCAGCATCGTCAACATCATCGGCATCGCCGTCATCCTCATCTGCATCATAATGAGCATCATCATCATAATTGTCTTATCCATCATCGTCATCGCCAGCATCATCATCATCATCATCATCATCATCAGCATCATCATCATCATCATCAGCTGCAGCATCATCATCAGCATCATCAACAACATCAACATCAACAACAACAACAACAACAACAACATCATCATCATCATCATCATCATCATCATCATCCTCAACATCATCATCATCATCATCATCATCATCATCATCATCATCATCATCATCATCAATGTCATCATCGTCCTCAGCATCATCATAAGCTTCCTCTTCTTCATCATCATCAGCATCGTCAACATCATCAGCTCCAGCAGCTTCATCATCAAAATCGTCATCGTCGTCGTCATCATCAGCAGCAGACTCCAGATCTTTATCCAAACTCGCATCGCTACCTCATCATCATCACCATTATCATCAGCAGTATCAGCATCATCAACATCATCAGCATTATCAGCATCAGCATCATCAGCATCAGCATCATCATCACCGTCGTCGTCGTCGTTATCATCCTCACTCCCGCCCGTCTTCCCATCGGAGGCATCATCATCAGCAGCAGCAACATCATCATCGTCGCCATAGTCATCAGCAGCATCATCGCAAACATCATCATCATCATCATCATCATCATCGTCATCATCATCGTCATCAGCATCGACATCATCTCCAGCATCATCATCACTATCATCGTCATCAGCATCACCATCGATCATCGTCAACATCATTGTCATCATCATCATAATGATCATCATCACCATCATCCTAACCGTATCTCAAAATCCAAATCAATACTATCATCCGCACGATTAAAGACCATCATCATCAACATCAGCATCAGCATCATCATCTGCATCGTCGCCATCATCATCATCATCATTATCATCATCATCATCATCATCATCATCATCACGATTATCGGCATCATCATCATTGTAAGCATCAACATACGCAGCAGCATCAGCATCATCAGAATTATCATCAACATGATCAGCATCACCATCATCGTCACCATCAGCGTCATCATTATCATCACCATCATCAGCATCATGAAGATCAACAACCTCATCATCAGCATCATCGCCGTTGCCGTCGTCGTCGTCTTCGTTGTCGTCATCGTTAGCATAATCCTAATCCTCAGTACCGTCATCATCATCAGTTTCATCATCATCAGCATAATCATAATCAGCATCATCATCATCATCATCATCATCATCATCATCATCATCATCATCCTCATCATGAGCATCGGCATCGTCATCGTCGTCGTCGTTGTCGTCATCTTCATCTGTACACCCTTCTCCCACCTCCGATTCCCCTTCCCACCCCGTTCACCTCCTCTTTCCCTGTCATCTTGCTCTCCCCCTTCACCTCTCTTTTCCCCCTTCGGCGCATCTCGAGTTTGTTGCGAAAGAGATGCAGCAGATTCTCTGTATCATGACTCGTTGCTGGCGGTAAGAGTGGAACTTTAGCTCTTCATCCCTCCTCTATCCCCTCTCCCTCCCCCCCCACTCTTCCCATCCCAATTCCTCTCCTCCTCCTACTCGTGCTCATCTGGCTCGATGCCCCTTCCTCGAAAACTCCGACGTCTCCTGCCCTTTTCCCTCACCCTCCTTCCCCCTTCCCCATCCGCTTCGCTCCCCTACTAAGTACATCCTGCTCCGTCCCTCGTCCTTACAAGCAACTCCTCCCTGGCATGCCACCAGACATGTCTGTAGTTACTGCCGGAAAGCTAGCTTGGGACGTCCTTCCAATTGACTGCCCCGAAGCTTGAAATTCGCCATGGCTACACGAAAAGAGGCCAGCATGTCGTCGAAATGTGGCCCTCGCCTTAGCGCCGCACACATCTGTCCTGCAAGCTGTCAACAGCTAGTACGTTTTCGAACCAGGGTGTCTCCATTACAAGTGTGGGGAAATCAAAAGGTACCGATACCGCGACTCCCCAGACATCTCCCAGGGTGAGTCCTGACCAGAATTTTGAAGCGAATCCAGCGGTGATCACGAGAGCCTCCCAGGAGGCCGAAAAAAGGGGAAAACGAGGGCAGGGTAGAGGTATAGGTATTTTTTCCCTCCTCTTATGCACTGCGAGTGGGGATCTCGGCGGATGCGTCTTCGAACATCGCACCACGCAGCGCCAAGATCCTGCAACTACACTCAGGTCGGGCATGTCCCCTTACTGGCGGAGCTCGGACGAAAAAATACAAATCCTCAAACAAATACCCTCCACTAGTCAGAAAATAATTTTGCACAATCGTTGCCAGGCTTCTTTTTAGATATGTTTGAACATTCCTCCTGTAGAGGGACAGGCCTGACTTAAAACTACATCCGGGCTGCGGGCGCGGCTCGAATCGGGGCCGTCGCTGGGCACTTTGTAGCCCTGTGCTCTTGCCGCATGCCTCACAAGCTCGAATGGGCTGGCTCGCCTGCACGGTTTCCCCCGGGGCCGCAGGCGACCCGAGGCGGAGGAGGAGGAGGAGGAGGAGGACGGAGGTGGAGGGAGGAGGAGGAGGAGGAGGAACTTGAACTTGAACTAGCTCGAGGAAGCCAAGCAATCATCAATGACACCGCAGTCAACAAAAAGTTGCCGGCATCGCGCGCGACTGACTACCTATAGCTTCTGAGTTGGTTTCTGCAGAAACCCGCTGGAAATTGCGATTGAGAGAAGACGAGCTGCCCACTGCACAGCAGCACTGGCCAGGCTCACACCCGCGCAGGCACGCAGCCCGCCATGGGGTGAGCACTCACGGCGCAGGCTGCGCTCCGTCTCGGCCACGACCGCGACCCCGCCCGCGTCTCGGCGGGGGCCTCGGCGCAACGTGCACTAAGGGAACCTCTGGCATACCTGGATGGGAAAAAGTTTGGATTGCACCGCTGGCGGCCTGCGCGGCCTGAAACGGGGCGTCAGCACTCACTAACCCACGCGCCACCAGCTGCTGGAACCGCTCCGAGCTCTGCATGATCAGCGCTTGGGCCCTGGCCCTACGATCTTCGAGAGGCCGCGCTCGCACGGGCCCCGCGGCGCTGGGCCCGGCAGGAACTCCCCCCCCCTCCATCTGGACCAAGCTCTCCAGGCAGCCCTGGATCTTCAGCCCGAGCGGGGTGTCCGCGTTGATCTTCCACATGAGCGTCGCCATCTGCCTGCCGCCCTCCTTCGGCTTGTGGGGCTTGCACCTGAAGTAGGCCACGGCCCGCGCGAGCTGCTTCCAGTTCGGGGACTTCTTGATCATCGCCCTGACCTCCCCGAACTCGTCCACAAACTGCTTGAGCGACAGGATGACAGCCTCGATGGAGGAGTCCTTCTCGCTCGGCGGGAGCGGCTCTCAGTCGAGCAGCGCCTTCAACGGGCCCAAACAAATGAGAACACCCATGCGACAACTGGCAACCTGCATATCAGCACGACGGTGATGATCACGATGTGCACTGGTTGTGATCCATCCGCTTTTGGATGTAACTCGTGGCTGACGAGTCCACCGCGTAGGCTGGAGGCCGTACAACCGGCTAAGAAGCCAGCGAGCTTCGTCCATCCCACTGCATTCGCTCCATAGGTGCCGGGCACTCGGGTGGAGCGCTCCGCACAGCGCACACCTGGTGTCCTGGCTGATGCGGGTCTGGGTGCGTATGG